TCTTTTCTCTCCACAGAGTCGTGGGTTTATGTCATTGGGTTGAGGCCAGTTAAGTTTCCAGTGAAGCGTTACGCCCTCAAGTGAGAGACAAAGCTGCCACTTAAAGCTTTTGACTTGTATCTTTTTCATGACTCTGAAAAGGATGGTTTTAATGGCCTCTGTTGTGCCATGTGACTTTGTTTTCTGTTGTCCATACTCATCTGGTACAACAGGGTGATCACGTGAAGGACTGTCTCTCAACGTCTTACTCCTCAGTCTACAAATGTCCACACTGCTCAAGATTCCCAGGGATTCAAATTCAGGAGTACTCTTCATTTGCTGACCCCAATCTGAACATTGATTATCTATGCCAAGGCCCAACAGTCCCCTTTTGAAACCACATTTAAATTCACTAGACCTTGATTTTTCTGTGGATCTGCACTATATTATTCCACTAAACAAGATCCATGCAGTATTCTTTGTGAAATCAACGAAAATGCTGAAAAAGCCCATTTTGAATGTTAAAGAAAGTGAAAGAAAATTTCTGGGTCTGCCCCAAAATATAGTAGCTTCTTCCAGTTTTTGCGTAATCCTGCTAACTAACATCCCTACAATCCCTACAATCAACTAAATTACATCATTTTACATTAATTTGCTTTTTGCTTCGAAACACAGTTTTTCTCAAAATCATAAATAAACATTAATATTCTAATGCATGTTTTCTGGTAAATATTTTCTCCCATTAGTGTGAAACCATTGTAGAAAGTTTTAATCTTACCTAAAACATTACTTTATACCTGTCCTAGTCACGTGTGATCCTGGTGAAGTAGAATTGACAGTTTCTATAGCCTTAAACTCACTGTAAATAATAGATGTTTGCTAACCTACTCAAAGTATTCAACGACTTCCTCAGACAGAACAGTTGATATTGGCATATTACCAAAGTCTAAAACCAACAGTTTCCAGCAGGATTGTTAGTGTACTAAAGACCTTGGATTAACCTGAGGCAGTTTATTTAATTTTCCATATCACAGTTCATCCATTTTACCCACGATTCCATCCGTATCACATACTGCTATTCCAAAATCATAATGCTGACACCAAAAATCCTCCTGACACCAGCACCAACAAGAACCTGTATGCTTCCATTTCCAGGTTTCTTCCTCCTATCTTGTCATTCAGGCATTGTAGTGAGCTTAACCCCCCTTCTTTCTTTTTCACATCCTTTTCCCTTCTTCCATTTTTTTCCTTTCTTTGCCCTGTCGGATGTATGTTGTTGACACGGAGGCATCTTGAATAATGGAATCTCTTGTCAGTGGCTTGTATTTTTTTGCCCAGGCTGTTAGGGCTGTGTATAATAGTAGCAGAGGAAGAGGAAGAGGGGAGGTTATGTGCCACCGATAGTAATGAAGGTTGCCTTTTCATTTTTAATATGGAATGTTTGTGGGCCGAGGCAATGCTCGTCGCTAATCCTACCCTCGAGCTGAGCTAGCTACATGGCTGTGTCACACACACACACACACACACACACACACACACACACACACACACACACACACACCCAGTGACATTCACACTGACAGATAAAAGACACACACACACAATACATATATGTGCACACTTTCCTCGAGGCAAGACAGGAAACTATTTGATAAGTCAGGCTGCAATTCTTCTCTTCGTGAGAATTTCACTCCCGTGTTTGTGTCTTAAGGAAATGCAGCCAGTTCCTGTAGCAGAAGATATGGTATTTGTTAAATATGTGATGCATATGAAAAGCTCATAGAGCGTAGATGCGTTTATCAGGACAGAGCATAATGGAACAGGCCGGGACTCCGATTGAGTAAAATTACATCAGTTTGACTTGTGATGAACGTGAGGTCACAGTGAGTCACGTGCTGCCGTCAGTGCGAACGTCACAGTGCGTCTAAAAACTGGTTTGTCAGGAATGAAGAGAACAATATTTACTCCCATTGACGCTCATATTTTAGAAAACTCAGTGTGTTAGTGTGTGTTTTTTTCTATTTGAGGTGCAGTTATATTTATTTGTTTGTCTTGTGTGTTTCCTGTTGGCTCAGAGTCCTGCACTGAGATAGGTGGGTTGTTGTGTATGAGAGAGAGAAAGCCTTAAAGTATGTTTTTTTACCACAAGCTGTGTGTGTGAGTGAGTGTGTGTGATGCTGGCTGGGGTCTAGCGTCTGCGGCGCTGAAGTGTGCTGTGTGTCTAATTGCTTTAATAGCACCTGGTCTCTAATCCCAGGTAATTAGGGCGCTCAAATTAGACAGCTACTTTCAACCGTCACTTGAAAAAGCAGAAAGGGAAGGCCTGGAGGAACACCAGTCCACACTGAAACTCTGTAAACACACACACACACACACACACACCATTTTAATGACACGTACACAAAAACTGTGGCAAAAGCAAGAGAAACAAGTTTAGTCCAGTGTGTATGTGTAAGGTAAATGGAGAGAAATGTATCAACTTGTATCCCTCAGGTCTTTTAGGTCAGAATATCCACATTGTGTTAGATTAGTCACTAATATTTATTAAGGTAAAGCGACAAAATGATCAGGATGGGCTCCAACAAAGCTGTTTCCTCTGTACATCCCTGCATAGTGATTGAGATTGTTGTATAATTGCTGATGACTTCATGACTTTTTATATATTTTTTTTTCTCGTCTACTTTTTTCTTTCTATTGTTTAAGCGGCACGCAGGCATTGTTGAGGTAGCCTAAAACGTGTCTGGAGAAGCTGCGGGGAAAGGTTAAGGCCCTCTTTTAAAGATGAGCCGGAAATGTCAAGTGTCCGTCCCTCAGGCTCCCGCTACCGTCTCCCTGTATTCCCTTCGACTGCCATAGGGGCGCGCATAACTCTCACACACACGCACATACACACTGGTACAAAGGTTAGGAGTCGCTGTTAGAGATGGCCTCCGGTCCCTTTCATCTGTTTTGGCCCTTGTAGCACCTCGGCATGCTCCAGGCTCGCGGTCACAGGTTAAACGACAACAATAGATGAGCAAGAGGAAAGAATTGTCCAGGTGCTTACAGACTGCAGCAAACTTCCTTGTGTTGGTCTAATACCACTGTTTTGTTTATGGCTTACTGACAGTACAAACTTATAATATAAAATAAAATAATACGTCATGAGCAACAACACGCAGATATCTGCAGGATTTAAATGATTGATTTCCACAGCATAGAAATATAAAAAGTAGATATTGCATTCATGCATCCCTGCAAAACCTGCTGCAGGTTTTCACATGTTCTAGCCAAAGGCGTTATTCTCCTCGAACCATCACTTAGTAATCGTTTTCCTCAAACTCAAATGACAAATTTGTTTTAAGTTAGGACTCCCTTCACTGTATTTCCTTTACTTGCAGTTGAACAAAACCACCAACAGAGGGGGTTGGTTGGCCACTCAGGCAATCACGTTGCAGTGAGCCGGCCTTCACTGTGTCTTAAAAACTGGGTTAACTGGCTTTGGTTCATTCATGTTGCTCTTCCAAAGGTTAAATAAAGTTTTGACTTTATGTAACCATCTCTTACTGAGAAGATTAAACATCGCGACAAAATGTGCATATTACATCTGTTGTTCAGAGGAATATACCACAAGAAAGTACACAATCAAAACAGGGAAGACATGAAAGGTTAACTCAAGGGCCTGAAGTTTGGATGTGTGTGCACTGTGCAGTAGTATCAGGTGAACTCGAAGCCTGTAAAACGTCTTAAAAACAGTTAAGAGAAGCAGATTGTATCTTTAAAAGTCTCTTCTCTTTAATAATCCTTATCCTCGAAAATGTCAACAAATTTTGTGTAAAGATATTAAAGCTTTTAAAAAGTCAAATTAAGCTCAATCAAACTTAAACTTCGAGTCATGTAATTAAGGAAATTGGTCCTATTAGTCATGCGTTAATGTTATTGTCTTGTACAATAGTAACACACACTTGGATTTTGAACATATTTCGTAGCCTTTTGATCTTGAGCCTTTGATGAATTTAATGAAATCACAGTGACATTTTGTTCATTTCTCTCTCTAAAATGATCTGAGAGAATTAACCCATATCTGTCGCCGCATAACCAGATTAGTGAACGGCCAGCTGAATAATCAGAATAGCATTGGTTCTGCTGGCCATCAGAGGAAGACCAGCGTCTCCGTGCCACCAAGGATTTGTGGGATTTGGAGTGTGGGAGAGAAAAAGGCTCCTAATGGTGAAGGCTTTCCACCCAGATAAGACTTCAAAGGCGGAGCTAATTAATAATATGTTTACATTATCCACGGTGGTACAACGGCTTTATGAATGACCCTTCATTATGGTGCGTGTGAGTTCATTGTATGACAGTATGGTTTGTTAATTGGTTGGATGGATGTTGCTGAGTAAAAAAAAAAAAAACACTCAGAGCTCGGACAATCGAAAATAAAACTTAAAAAATCAAATTTTTATTTTTAGCAGTATCAATGTTTTTATACTTCACACAGTAAAAACCTACATTACGTCATAGTTATAATTTCTTGAAGAGGTATTAGAGCCCAACCCATTCGTCGATATGCACCTTTCAAAGAGAAGGTATTTGCGTTTATGTTTGCTGAAATGCACCAATATGAAAATGTTTATTTTACAGGACACACCAAAAAAAGTCAGTTTGGTCTATACTTTACATTAAAACATTTATTTTGTCAATTCAATTTCTATATGTTTGGTTTTATTTGTGTTTTCTTTCAATTTATAATAAAGTTCATCATTAAACTGTAAAATATCAAGCCTCAATTACAACTCTTTATCATGAGGTGATAACAGAATCTTAACTGCCAACATTTGTATTCGATCTGTCTGCTGATGTATCAGTTTTGAAAATGTTTTACTCCCTAATATCTATAGGTACCAAAAATTCATAATTGTCAGGCTTCAATGAATCAACATGTTGCATCAGTACATTGTGAAGATGATCACAATTTTTTGTCCTGTTCATGTCCAATTACTCTGCTTTCATCCCTCCTCCCTCCTCTCTCTCTCTGCCTGCAGCCCAGCCCCGTCCCAAGTCCAATTTTGGGAGGGAAGCCGAACGCCAGCCAGTCTCTGTTGGTCTGGTGCCGTGAGGTCACCAAGAACTACCGTGGGGTCAAGATCACCAACTTCACCACCTCATGGAGGAATGGGCTGGCCTTCTGTGCCCTGCTGCATCACTTCAGACCTGACACAATGTATGGAAGAAACACACACACATGAGAATGTTTGTTTTACAGTATGATGCATTAAATAAACATCTGGGGTGGCAACCATTGTGGAAGAAGAATGTTAAGGTCAAGTCACAAGTCTGGTGTATTTACATTAGTTTAAGACTCTTATCATTGGTATCATATTATGACAATTAACCTGTCATCGTTCCTGTTGGTTTGTTTGATTTAGATGACAGATGTGTCCACACTTGCCACCTCAATCCATCACTCTCAATTTTAAATAAAGAGTGGCATGTTTGCCGACAGCGTGTGTGTGATTGTAATTCTGAATGTCTGTGTGTGTGTGTGTATGTGTGAGAGAGAGAGAGAGAGAGAGACTCCTTAAATGTTTAGTATATTTAGTTTATGTAACCCTCAAAAGTACAGCATGTGGAAAACCTGCAGGAGCAGACTTAAAGATCATTTATCTAAACTCTGCTCTATGTACTTTTGTGTATGTGTGTGTGTTTATGCTTGTGTGCCTTTGCACTGCGGTGTGTTATTTTTACATATTTTCCACTCTATTGGTTCTGTTGATTGCACTGCTATGAAATTACATGTTACAGTTCTAATGCCATTACATGTGACGCATATTTAAACACACCTCTTTCTCCGCTGTTTCCCATTTTCTCTCCCTCTCTTTCTCTGCCTGCCTTCTCTCCGACCCTCCCCATGGTTCTTTCCAGAGACTACAAGTCGCTCAATCCTCAGGATATTAAAGAAAACAACAAAAAGGTAAGAGGCAGCCACCGCTGGGCCCTTCACACCACTTAGCTCCCTCCCATCCACGTCTCCCATTTGGCCTTATTTAGAGATCTGCCATTAATCCCTGGATGCAGATTGTATGTGTGTTTACATGGTTTGACAGGGGAGGGTGGAAACACAGATGAAGGCAGGCAAATGCATTTACTCAAAATCACACTCACTTGCTCCACAGCAAGAATGTTATATTGACAGTTTTCATAGCATGCTGCCTCCTGCTGTGATGTGTGTTCATGGACGTGTGTGTCCAAAGCACAACGGAGTCACCTGGCAGAGGTGAGATAGTATCTTAACTCAGCATCCTGCTGGGAGCTCACTAAACTGCTGTGAGTGTATTATAAGAATACATTTTTATGTTGGGTTGATTTTGTGTGTATATATCTAAAAGCGTGTACAGGAAGAGGACCGAACGTGTTTATTGGTGTGAATCCAAATATCATTGTGGTTTCATGCCTCTGCCGTTCACCGTTCTAAGAAGAAATTTAAACCCACACAAATGCCCACACCCCGAAACCTCAACTGAATAAACCATTCTCTTCATGAGGCAAATGTACACACACCTATATTCTTCCTTGCCCTATGTTATCATATCTACACATTCACAGTTTGAGGCTCACACTCTTTCCCTCTGGCTCTTTGTGTGCTCATTCACTTTTTCCATACACACACATGGACATTGCTGTTTCCCCCACTTTTACTCTGTTACTACACAATCATATACACACAGACACACAGGCGCCCTGTCCCCTCTCTGGCCCTGAGGGCTACACAGAACGATATGCGTCAGGTTCCTCCAGCTTGATTTCCTCTTCTCATACACACTCTGGCTCAGTGATAACCTCTGGTGGCCCTGTTAGGCATGAATGCTACCCTGTTGACAATAACCATAGTGGAGGAAAAGGGAGAGACCCAATCCCATATCTGCTAACTGCCCCTCACCCCCCTCCAGGTGTTCAAGTAGCCCTGAAGAAATTGGTTAGATATAAGTAATATGGGAATATGCCGTAGAAGGTGATAGCTGGTGAATAGCTGCAGCTCTGTACCCGGTGTGCTGCGACTAGCTTCTTTGTCGACATGTACTGTTGCCGATGTATATTTGACCAAGCGAGCGGTTCCTTTGCAGTGAACTGTGAAATAATCTAAGTCAATCAGAATCAAAAAGTTTGATTCAGATAGTTTTCATTAACAAACATCAGACAGGGAAACCATCGCCCCTGTCCATTTGTCTGTTTGCTTGTTGTTCTTCAGCCGGATTACATAAAAAATCTACTGAATTAATTTCCACCCACCTCAGTGGAAGGATGGGACATGAGCTAAGAAAGTGTGGAGCAGATCCAGGGTTTTAAAATACTTTCTTTTACAGTGCAAGATTTTAGAGATTTTCACTCATCTCCCAGGGAATAATTCAGAGATCTTAATGGAAATGGTTTTAATATTTTGTGGGATGATATTTAAAAGTGGGTGGAATTTTGTGATTGAATTCAAAAGGACTGTTAGGAGTCGTGCTCTACTGACTTCCATTCTAGTTTGAGATGTGATTGGAGTTGATGTTGATATGTTTCCCGTAGTGCCACATATCTGCAAATGAAGGATACTTGAGGTTCTAGATGATTGTGAAAGCTGAGCGATGAGCTCAGGCAAAGGGAAAGAGGCAGAATGCATCATGTGGTGTCATGTAGCACCCTGAAGGTGTTGAACAAGACGAGGTTGTCCCTGATACTGCGTGGAAAAAAAGAGAGAAACCACTCGCACCAGGCTCAGGTGTGGATCGCATAGTGTGACTGATTAAAGATCCCAGAGAGCAAGTGAGGAAAAAACAACTGAATAAAGAAAACAAGAGAAAGAGGAATTAGTTTGAGGAATGAAAGACAGTGATGTTTAAAGACATATCGCCCATCCAGTGCTGTATAGAGCTGCTTCATAAAGAGTTGTGGGAGCGTACAGAGTTTATTGAATGGACGGGAGAAATGGAAATGTATAGAAATGACAAGCATCTCTGCTTTTCATGGCTAGTTGATAGACATGCCCCCTCCTCCTCTCACGGTCTATCTGTGAGGAGTGATTGCAATGAGCTCAGACTGTGCTGCTGAATTATGACAGATAAGGACAATCAATATTTGGGGGTGGGAAAATGAGAGAAAAAAGAAAAAAGCTAAAGACGTGAATATTTAGAGCAGATACAACCTTGATCTATTATCAATGGACATGTGTATGCATGTGTGCTGGTCTTTGGATGTATTCACACATTATATGTGCCTTTTGAGGAATCTGCATGATGAGAGCCATGATGAGAGCTCTGGTGTGTGTGTGTGTGTGTGTGTGTGTGTGTGTGTGTGTGTGTGTNNNNTGTGTGTGTGTGTGTGTGTGTGTGTGTGTGTGTGTGTGTGTGTGTGTGTGTAATGAGGCCAAGGAGAAGTCATTTGTCATGCCATCTGATAGTGTAGCACCAGGCTAAAGCACCCTGAGCACAGCCGCGAGGGGTCGGGCTGAGGGGAGGGGTGTAGATGATTGACAACGATAGATAGCTGTCAGTCACAGAGAGGGAGTGCGGGGAGTGTGGGGGGAGCAGGGAGCCACGGCCTGGGGCAGGTCGACCGTGACATTTAGTCCAGACCAAATGCTTTGTCATTTTCCAAAGACAGTATACAAAATTCATACTGGACAGAAAGATTGCTCTGATCCATCAGTGGTGAGAAATACTCATGACGATACTAAGACGAGGTTTATTGATGGTCTTCTTTCAGATGTTATTGACCAAGGATTAGAGTAATAAAAGAAATCTTTATCGTGCATAATAATATTTCTTGATAAGAATATATGTCATCATATTGGATTTGTTTCTAAAATCACACACAAGCTGCTTAAGCTGCTAATGTTCAAATCAATTGCTCTTTGCTGAAACTTTTCCACCCAACCCAGTAAAATGTTCAGAAAATGTCTGAGCGAGCCCACATGAGGATGCAACAGGAACATTTACAGGGAGCAGGTGGACGTGTCAATAATGTGTCAAACACGCGACAGACAGTGATAAATACAAATATCTCAGGATGAAAAAGAGGCGTCACACACGTAGAAGACGCCAATGGAGATATCAGCTTGGAAAGACGACATTTAAGAGCTGTTGTTGACACTGGTGTGGATGTGCCGTAAACAAACAAAAAAACTGAGCTTTCCACAGCAGATACACTACATCCTGCTTCCTGCCGCTCTACCCAGGCTCCACCCCCTCGCCTGATTATTCTAGAAATGTTCCTGTTGCTGTGAACACGTCAGACCTGGACTCCTGCTGCATTGGTCATATGTGAAACTCAATTTTCTGGAGTTCAGCTATTGAGTTAATTGCAGAAAGCAATTTTTGCTCTTTTTTCCACCAACATTTGCCAACAACTGCAGTGCTTCACCATTTCAGAAAAAGAAAGTTTATATTTCTGAGCCATTTTTAAAATTATGTTTTCAGTCAGAGCCAAGAGCCGTTGAGCTGAGACTAGGTAGGGAAGTTACAACATTTTGAGGGACGACTTACACATTGCTGGGTTTTTGGTTTTACCTGGGATTGGCTGGCGGTAAGGATGGACAGGGGCCGTCACAGACCACAAACACTTACAAACGACAGGTCTTCCCTCAGCGGTCGTCACTGTCACAGAACGACACAATCAGTGCTCCTCACGCACTAAGAGAAGATATAGCGAGAATAAAACATGACACTGAGGTCAAAAAGACTTTAGCACATGTAAAGACTAACGTCGGCCCTGAAACAAAACCCAGCTCGAGAGTTTCCCTCCCTCCCTACCTCTTCATACTGCTCTCACTTTCTCCCACTCGCTCTTTTCTCTCTCTCATTCTTTCATTCTGTCCCCATTGAGCAGCAAAATTGTCGCTCTCTTTCACAGCCTACTCAGGGTGAGAGGGGAACAATGCAAGCACACTTTGGTCCCCTGAATACGTGTTAGAAACCCAATCAGGCCCTCTTATTCCCCATATTCTTTTTCTTTCTTTTCTGTCTTTCTTTTCTCTCTCACACTCCTTTTCTGCCAGGCAATGGAGAGAGAGTGGGGGGGTTTAAACAGGCTCGCTGTAAAGGCAAACTCGTCTCTGCTCCCTTTTCTTTTTTCTCTGCCGTCACCTCTTTCTTCCTGCCTTGTCTTTGCAAGTACAAACACACACACACGCACACACTTACATACACCTCATTTCCCTGTGCGAGTATAGATGTTCCACCCATTGTTACCTTCTCCATCAATAGAAAGGGACAAAGCGGTGAGAGTGAAAAAGATTTCTCTTAACAAAAGACAACATAATTGATTGTAAATGGAGAAATATTATGCAGTTAAAAGCACTTCCTTCTTATTCTCCATTTCCACCTTTTCTGTTCTCATGTTCCCAGTTCTCTGTCTCAGTTGATGAAATAAGATTAACTACATTACACAGTGTTTAAACCTGCACGGTCAGGGGTTCATTTCCCTGAGCTGTGTCTGAAATCCCTTCCTGGTTCCCTCACTACACAATGAACGCTCAGCTCTGTATTAAGTGATAAATTGAGATTTCAAACACTTCAAATGGGCTGATTTATACTGATTTATATGTTATAACTTAACACCACCACTTAATAGTAATCCTGCTGTAATCATCTACAACTTAATGTAGAAATTTAACTTTTTACATTTACAACTTGAATGGCACATTCATTGACATCAGGCACATAACTATGCCTGTTTATCAGGATTCATGAATTATTTCCTGGGAAATCTGTGAAAATACAACAATTTTGTCTGGATACATGCTGCAATTGTGATATGTTTTTTGGCCCAGGTCCCATCCTTCCAAAAAGTTTCGTGGAAATCTGTTCTCGACTTTTGCATACACCTGCTGACAAGCAAATAAAGCAACAAACAAATAGGGGTGGAAACATAACCTCCTTGGCAGAATGTGATAAGTGATATCCTCAAAAAATCACATCTTTCCTCTTTCTATTCCAATTTTCACCCTGTTTTTGAGAGTGTCCACTCAGAAAAACTATTAACACATTTTCCCCTCTGACAGCACATAATACGAGCTAAGTCTTTTGCACCAGAACTCTTCCCTTTAAGTTCAGTCACTCAATTAAAATGGCGGAAAGAAAATATAGCCCACAAGAGACCATCACTTGAGACAGTAGCTTTACTAGAAAGCTCCCACATCTAATTGATGAATGCAAAGTAGGGACTTAATGAAAAATCATACATCCTCAATAGACCCCCTCCCTGGATAAATAAGAAAATATGAAGGGGGAGCAAGAAAAGGCTCTTCAAAACGATCCCTTGGACAAATAAAAGTTGAAATACATGGAGGGGTGTTTGGAAGTCAGTGAGGGAGACAGAGAGAAAGAGGTAGATTGATAGACTGGAGATATCTGCAGAGGCAGTGAAACAAATGAGCACTGCAACAGGTTGGAATTTGATCAACACTATCAAGCAGGCCAGATACAAGCTGTGATACCAGGGAGAGATGGGTTTGTGTGTGTGTGTTTCTGTGTGTGTGCCCCGTTAATCTATTTATTTACCTGTCATTGGCTGCGATAATAGTTTTCATCCCTTCTCTCTCTGTCTCTCTCAGTCTATCTGTGATGGGGGATTGGGTTTCGTGTGTCGCTTGATAATCAAACCTGTATTTTCTCATCAAACTCTAATCAGACCAATTACACGCGTGATGGAGAGCGTGGGCAGGTTGATGTAGGGGAGCGATAAGCGCGCACGCACACACACTTTGGGATTAAGCGTTCTGTCTTGGGGTATCTGCGTCTCTTATCGGGGACAACCATCCCTGACATGACCTGTCAGCAGTCATGCCAAAGGTGTCTCACACAAACACACATGAACACCTACACTCGTGGATCGTCCGTGCAATACATCATGCACCAAATACAACCAGAGACCAGACTTCTCATCAACCATTGTCGCCCGACATCCATCCTCTGTCCTTTTTATAACACGGCATATTCAAAATTTCTTTTCACAGTAAAAGCCTTTTTTTAACCAAATTTGCAGGTAGGCTATGCTTTATTTGATGAATCTATGATTGAGTTACCTTTGTGTCTTGATTCTTACGCAGGCATATGACGGCTTTGCAAGCCTGGGCATCTCACGCCTCCTGGAACCGTCTGACATGGTGCTGCTTGCTATTCCTGACAAGCTAACGGTGATGACCTACCTGTACCAGATCCGCGCCCACTTCTCCGGTGAGGAGCTCAACGTGGTGCAGATAGAGGCCAACAGCAATCGCAGCACATACAAAGTGGGCGACTTTGAAACCGACACGAATGCCTCCATAGGTCAGGACAAGTTCTATGCCGAACTCAACGATGTGCAGCCCCGCCAGGCTACCTCTCAGCTGGATGTGTCTGCTGGTGGTGGTAACTCTGAGTCTAACGGCACTAAAGCTACAGAGGAAGATGCAATGGAGCTGGGTTGGAAGGCTGATGTAGCAGCAGTGTCAACGAGCTTGCCAACAGCAGGGCATTTAGAGTCCTCACCTCCTGTCCCATCACCACGTACAGTATTACCCACTACAGCCACAGACTCGACCCACACGACACCGCCAGGCTCGGAGGACAGGGGGCATCTGCTCAAAGCTAACACTTTAGACATTAGCGAGTTACCGCAGAGAGTGGAGAGAGAGATGGAGAAAGAGAGACAGCAAAAGGAGATGGGAGAGGATAGACAGGAGGGAAGTACTGAACCGGTGTCTCCGACCAGGAGAGGGGTCTCCTCCTCACCACCCCACCAGAAACTGGGCTTTTCCTATAACAGGGACGCTGACCTCATCAAGAAGAAGAGGGCCAGCCTGCGTCACTCTGAGTCTGAGCCCGCCTCAGACACCTGCTCCCCTCCTGTCAACCACACAGACACGCCTCCCAAACAGGTAAACACCCTGAACAGTAATGGAATTAAAACACTCACTAAACAGTGATAAAAAAGTGATTAACATACATAGCTCTACTTGTGCTGCTTGTCCAGGTAGATTCAGTTGCTCAGTTTCAAATTAGGTAAATCTAACATTGCAGTTTCTTATTTCACTCTCAAACTCACTGCACTGCAGGAATTGAGTGAGGACTACAGGCTTCTCAGCAAACTATACCACATCTTTAGCGCTGTCCACCAATACCTTGCATGTGAAGTGTTAGGGTAAATTGTCTCATCATTCACGCCACACCATTCACCAGCACAAGTGACGTTATTTTTATTTTAAAAAGATGATTTTTATGGATATTCTTGAAATGGAGAAGTTGTTCATTTCATTGTTCCTCCAGTGTTTTGAATATTCACAAACAAGTCCTTTAAAGGTTTGTAAGAAATGAATCAAGCAAACTCACATGTAATAATAAATCCTGCACCTTAAACAACCCCTGGATCCGTCTGTATGATGTAGACTAATTCTCACCTTAAGTCAAGTATTAAGATTCTGGCAGCGTTTACCTGTGAACACCACCCTGTCCCCTAAATGGATTGTTCAGGTTTTTTATCCGTGCACCCAGGCTTTGATTGAAACTTTCGCAGTTACATCAGTCATAAGACAGAGGATGCGGTGAACATTCATTCCCTTCTGGCGCTCGCTAAGCTTCAAATCCCGACCTTGTTGATGCCGCAGCAGAGATGACCGTACCGGAATTCTCCCATTCTGCATTAGATGTTGTCGTCACCTGTCTCTTTGCCGAGACCCAGACACATCACGGCCGGGCCGTTAACCTGTGGCGACTATAGAAGGCAGCCAGGAGAACCCCCTGCTTTGACATTTCATTATATTTTTCATTATATTTCTCATCCCTTCAGTTGATGGCAGTTGGCGCCGTGATCGCTCAGGCGTGGCGACGCTTTGCGCAGAGCACACCTCATCTCGTCTCTCACACGCTCTGGCGTGCACCTGCGTGCTTGTGCGCACACAGTCAGAGACAAACACACATTGAATGCATTGCTGCTGTGTTGGTTAACCACAGATTACTGCTTCCTGTTTACAAGTCAAAAGGTCACGGAGAAGGCGGGGGCCTGCAGGGGGGTTATGACAGCTATGACACCCTATTTTGATCTGCTCTTATCTAGTTAGCGGGATGCATCCTCGGCTGCACCTAGGCCAGATTTGACTTGTTGAAAGGATAAACATGTTTTAGTGTTATTAACAGCTTGACTGTAATATTCCTCGGTCTAATCCGAATGTAAAAGCTCTGTTTGCTCTCCTTTATAACACAGCCAGGATTAACCTGCAGATAAAACTCCAGGCTGGGTTTTTCTTTTTTAGCTTTCTCGTCAAAGCCGTCATGCTCTCCACACCACCAGGCCCAGCTGGTGCATTGGTTCATAATTTTAGACTGTAGGTTCTGTATATGTCCTCCTGCTACAAGTTGACAGAGTCAAGAGGTGCCTCTGATATTTGCTTGCATATCTGTAGTTAATGTTTTGTTTTTCTGTTTTAAAGGAGCCAGCGCCTGCAGCTGTGTCAAGTCCCCCGGCTGAAAAGGTTAGTTAAGTCTTGTCAATATTATAGGGAGTGAACTTTACCCATTTTAGGTTATTGTCTCTAGCAGTGTTTTATCTGATCATGTTTTTTTTTTTGCACATAGAAGTTGCTCTCTCGCCAAGAGGAGCTGAAGGAGAGAGCCCGCCTCCTCCTGGAACAGGCCCGCAGAGACGCTGCAATGAAAGCCAGCAGCAAGAACATTCCCAACTCAGCCGTGACGGCACTAACCCGGACTACAAATGTCTGCGATGTAAGTCAAAGTTGTTTAATTTTTAAAATTTGGAAATAAAATGAGACCTAGCTCACAGCAGAGAAATTCTCAACCTGAGACCCAGTGTGGATCAGCCTGGTTCCTGAGGACGAGGCAGGTCTGAGTGATTTACATGAAGGCTGCCCTTTCAGCCTCTTGTCTCCGTGCACTGGAGGGTTGTACAGCATCACCTGTGTGTGCAGGAATAGCTACTAGAGTGGCCATCAGCCTTTTCAACACCCTCATGTCACTTCCACATTTCTGTATTTGCTGCTCACTACACTTGCAACATACTGGAAAAGCCTTGTCCAAACTGTCTCATCCTCTGTCGGTCCACTATGGTAAATCTGTCATGAGAAGGCTTTGAGAGGGAGAGAAGACTTTTTCTTATTAACTTCTGCTGAGACTCTCTTATGGACTGCTGAACGTCACGACCTGAACATGTCAGTAAGAAAAACTAAAACGTGGATGGACTCCTCCAACCTCTCTCTCTTCACTCCTTCAACATTTTTTATCCTCTCTCTCTTTTAGTCTCTCTCTTTGGTCATCTTGACTCTGCGCAATTTTTACGGCATCCCGATCAAATTTGCTGCTCCCTCACTTTCCCTGGAACACTAAGTAAATGTTGTACACAAACACCTGTCAGCAAAAGTACATTCATGGTAAAGGAAGTGGGGGTGAGAATCACTGTACCGGAGCAAACTAGACTAGAGAAGACGCGAGTGAAATTGCCAGCTCTGAACCAAGCACGCTCCACTGAACATAATATACTGGGTGTTGGAGGGGGCACACTGATGGACCAGGAGTTACTCTGGGAAAGCGTCGTGGTCAAATCCTCACTACCGTTTCCAAATGTTTCAGAGAAAGGAAAAGAGGGGGTTAGAAAAAAATATGTCTTTGGAGAATTGTGACGACAAGGGATTTTAGGGTAAAATGAAATAAATACCTTTTGGTAATGAAATATCTAAAAGGCGGCAGCTGCATGCGCCTGCATTTGCTGAATCCTGAATCCTTAAAGAGAAATATGCCCTTGAATTAGATGTTTTTCAATGTGTGTGTGTGTGTGTGTGTGTGTGTGTYTGTGTGTGTGTGTGTGTGTGTGTACACTTTTAAACGTATTTTCACGCCACAGCAATAACCATTCCACCATAATCTAAGGAAATAAATGAGGACCTTCCAAGGACTGGTGGCTTTAAAAGTCTTCAGAGGCAGAAAGCAAATTAAAAGAGTTCTTCAAAGCTGTTGCATCGCCGATATTTCCTTTGCGACAAAAAAGGGTCCTCTTCTGTTCCTTGTTGTGCAGCAAGATGGCTGACTTCACTTAGATTAGCTCCATAAAGTAGCCCGACCCACCCCTCTACTTCTCTCTCTCTCTCTCTCTCTCTCACCCTCTCCTGATTTCCTTACTCATTTCCAAGGACAATTGGTTAATAACCCCCTCACACACACACACACACTTCTCCCATGCTTAAGGGATAGAGTGTACGAAGGAGGGCTAAGAGGGAGATATTGAATTGTTTACACTTTTTTTAATAGAAGACATTGATCAAAGAAAGACGACTGGCCTTGGGGCCAACGTGCTGATAATTGTTAGTGATTCAGATTAGATTACTTGATGTCTTGTTTTGATTAGTGTGAGTGTGTGTGTATGTGTCTCTGTGCCCTATGTTATCAGCTCGAGAGGCCCAAGCCATTCCCATTTAACTCTCTATCCGTCTAAGTAGGTGCTTTGTGGTTTAGCATGCATAAGGTATAATTTAATTCAATTAAAGCAGGCCGCATTCTTCCAGGGAAGTGGCTAATGTGGCTGCAACAGAATGATTCAAGGAGAGGAGGGGGCTACGTTTGCTGTTGTAGGGATGTAGCGTTAAAAGCACATAACAAATCAGCTATTAACTACAATGATGCCTGAATCAATCAATCAATGCATTAAACTTTATTTGTTAAGGATCTCTCATATAGGTTAGTGCTGTTCAAAGTGCTTCACGAATGACAAAGTATTACGTATCAAACAATATAATAAAGATAAATAGAAATCATAAATATAAATTGCTCTTGTCAGCCATGTTCACTCTCCACAATGGGTGATGAACTGATCATAATAAAACTAAAAGGTTAATTGATAAAAATCATAGTTACAATCTAAGTTCGGGTAAAATCACTGATGCCAACACATAGGACAAGCTGGGAAACTCTATTCAGATTCAGGTCAGTCCGACTGGCTTTATTTTCTACATGCACATGTCTGTGCTCAGGGAAAAACGGTCAGTTTGCTTACAAAAAACAGAACGTCTGTCGGATTCAGGTCAGGCTTGGTTAGTTTTTCTCTCCGGTTCGGACTATTTCAGACAGAAACATGTGGCCTGAGCTGCACTTTACATATATAACATACCACAGCTACAGTGAGTGCCGTCAACATGAATTTAGCTGGATGCTGATGCTTCGTGTGTGTGTGTGTGTGTGTGTGTGTGTGTGTCTGCCTGTGTGTGTGCTTGTGCGCGCGCGTGTGTGAGCATGTGCATGTGTTAGAGCCCTGTTCTCTTGACCTATGCTCTCCCTCCTGCCATCCCTAATTGTAGCCCACAGTGACTGGTTCTTTCATCTAAGGTCACAGGTTCACTTTTCTCTCTTCCTCATCCCTCTGTCACTCTTTCTTTCTGTTCATAACCATCAGGTTTTTTTTTTTTCACCCACCGACTTAACCACCCCGAAGTCTTTTTGTCACGTTTCTTGTTTTTGTTCGTTCTGTCTCTCTGCTGCACCTCATCTTCTCTTCCTCTTGTCTTGTCGGCTGTCCTCGTCTCTGTGATCTATGACGGACAAGCAGTCGTACTAATTATTTTCAAGCCCACCACCCCCCTCCTTGTTCTCCTCATAGGTGGCCTTCAAAACATATCAGTAGTCACAGTGCTGATGTCTTGTAATGTTGTAATGTCACCACCCCCTACCCACACTGCAGCCAGATGGGTAATTAATGAGCTTCCCTAAAATATTTAGGGCGAGGACTTTATTCTCGTATTTTATCCCACTTTTTTGTTGTAGTCTTTTCCAGTCATTCCCACTGGTATTATTTTAATGTAGAAGTGTATGTGTGTGTGCGCTTGCGTCTATTCGCTTCAGGTCTTTTCATCCATTAGCAGATGAGAACAGTAATTTCACAGCGGCCTGGCCAGGCTAATTATCAGGATCCACACCAGGTTTTGGGAGAAGTGTGTCTTTTAGTGTTTTGTGTGCACGTGGATGCACAAGCACGTGCTCCTGTGTGCATCTGTCTATATTTCTGTAATGCAAAAACATGTGTGCACTGTGCACTTCTTTTGAATGTGTGTGTGTGTGTGTGCATGTGCTCTCTACACACACACATGCCTTGGTGTTTTCCAGGTAGAGAGAGTTCCCCTGCTCACTGACTCGTTGTGATTCCTATAATTGGGTCCTGTTTGATTTTTGCCGACCAGCACCCCTACCTCCTCCTCCTCCTCCTCCTCCTCCTCCTCCTCCTCCTCCTCCTCCTCCTCCATTCCTTCTTCTCAGGAGTGGAGGGGTCTCCTGTGTCTCTGCTGTTGTGACCTGTGGGTGTTGTCATCTGCACCCATCTGCTGTCTGCCCTTTGATCCTGACTCCACTGCATTCATGTCCATATTTCTTTTTTCTATCTTTCTTTCTTTCTGACTGGCTTCTCCGTTTCTCTCCTGCTTGACTCCTTCTCTCCTCTCTCCCCTCCTTCCTTCATTTCATCCATCTTTCCTGTCTTCCTTCCTTAAATCATTCCTTCCTTCCATCCCTCCTTCCTGCCTTCTTTCTTTCCTTAACTCCTCCCTCCCTCCCTTTCATCTTCCCTTCCTTCCTCTTTTCCTTATTCCCTTCCTTCCTTCCTTCCTTAATGTCAAGGCACAGCCCTCTTTCTGAATTTCTTCCCCTTAAAAATAAATAACAAACATGTTTTTTCAGAGTTAGTACTCATTGTACTGTATTTAATCTGAGATTATGAAAAATGAATGTGTTTATCACATTATTACAGACAACATAATACCTTGTTGCAGAACTTTAAATGTGCCACGCAGGTTACATTTAGGCAGTGAACAAATTATATGATATAATCCTGTGAATCATTTGAGAATCTCACTCCATAAAACAGATATTCTAACTGCAGATTGGTTTCTAATGATTTCAACCATTAAAGATTGTTTTTGCAGCAAATAAAGAAAATATGTCAAATATCTTCAAAATGCAAATATGGCCTTGTGCACTCTCCTTTTTGTCAACATTTTGTCCTTTACTCCTCCTCCTCGTTTTTCTTTCCTCTCTCCTTTTCAACTTTCTCCCAGCAGTAATAGTTTTTCTCCAGGTCTCATTTTAATGTGGCTGCTGTCCCTTTCTTCTTCCAGCTCTCGCTTTCTCTCTCCCTTTCTTCCTCTTCCTTCACCCCTCCAACCCCTCCCTTTTTTTCTCTTTCTCTCTCTTTTCTTTTTGAAGAATGCGCCCTTAATGAAACTAAATAGTTTACCAGGGAGTTTCTTTGGGTTGTGTGTGTGTGTGTGTGCATGTGTGTGTGCACAGGTCTTGGAGTGTGTGGCTGAATTGGCTGGAGTGGAGATCAAAGTGAACCTCTAAATTGCGTGTGTGTGTCTGAGACAGCTCTCTCAGTTGCATCACTAAGAGCTGATCAAGCCATCACAGAGGAAAGCTGTGGTACACACATGTCTGAACTCATGTACTTCTCTTTCTTTCTCTCCTCTGTCTCCCGTCAAGTTATGACATGCCTTGTGTTCACGTTTGACCAAGTGGAAATGTTTTTCACGTCCACACTATAACTCTGATCTCTCTCTTTCTAAAAGCCACTTTGCATGAATAAAATATGAAGCCCGAACTCCTCAGATGAGAGAATATTTAATGTTTATTTCATATGAAATTACCGTAATCCCAGTACTTTACTAAAGATTTTGTTTTAGCTTAAGTAGAAGGTTTAATTTCTCTGTCCATGTGTGGGTGTGCACTTGTGT